TGAGTTCAAAATAAGCTGATTTGAAGCAACTTACATAATTCGCGTCTTTATGAGACTCGAGTATCATGTTTCTAATCATATTCAATCACATGAAGATGATATCATTATAATATCATATATCATTATAATTTAACTTCAATATTAACTTAACATCAAATTAACATTAACGTAACATTAAATTGAATTAACGAGTTAACATTAAAGTAGTCATTCACTTAACATTAACTTGAGATTAACTTAACATTAACTCAACATTAACTTATCATTAACTCAACATTACCAACTTGGCAGTAAATTACTATTTTATCTAAAAGTGGATGAATATGAATCAAATTGGTAATCAAAATTGACAATGACTTTGGGTGAACAAAAAATGATGGATTATTTGGACTTTGCGTGAGATTGAAAAGAATTTTCCTGTCACAGACTAAAATAGTGTATTATACACGGGAAAAATATTAGATTTTAGCTCATGGTTTTTTGTCTGAGATTACACAAGCTCGGGCTAAAATCTACTACTTTTTTCCCTTGTATACTATATAACCATCTTTTGACAAAGGTTGAACAAAATATAGTCCGTATAACTCTTTTAAAAAATTTGAATAGATTAAAATCCGAAACACGAATACACAGAAACACACAATTTGAAACAAGTTCACATGTCATGTATAAAATATAAAATATTACAATCTAAAACAGAAATTAACATGCACATATTGCCACACTGTTCATTTTCACTTTCAAATTCTTATGGTGATATGAGATACCTTTTTTGCTTGAAAATGTTAGAAATATTATTTCCTTAAAAAGTGAGAAACTACACTGAGAAAAAAGTAATTGCCATTCTGAACTATAAGAAGTGCATTCGTAAGCGCCCTCTAATGGCCACAGTGAAAAAATGTCCGTATTCGAGTTTCGCATTTCAAAAAACTCCCGGATACCAATTTTTGAAGTGACGTTTCAAAATGTCCATAAATTCTGAAAATTTCTATTTTTATTTTTCAACTTTACCACTCTGTATCTCGGAAACGGAACAATTTCGGGCTGAGGTAAATTGCTTCAAATCGTCTATATCTGACCTCTGGAGTATGTACTGAGATATTGTACAGATCTTTCAGAGAGTATTTTAAGTACAGAAAATATTCAGCTGGCAATATTTTCTCAACACAAGCCTATTGAATCTGATTAGAATGACTGAAAATTTAGGTACATGATTATAATATTCTTCAATTATTACCTTATTCCTTGGTTTTTTAAATAATCGTGATAGTATACTTCTATTTCCCATAAGCATGAAAAGAAACAATATTTGAAATTAGAAATTATACCAATTGAGTTTGATTCAATGCAACAGTTTTCAACCAACGGGACATTACTCATTACATTACAGTACAATATTATAAAAATGATAGAAGTGAATTCAATTCATTACCTTTTATTGTCCTCAGCAATGGAGGAATTCTGAAATGAAAAATAAAAATTATTGAGGTATCATTAACTGGCAAAGTTCTGGAATTCATTAATTGCCTGAGGACATTTTCCCAAAAACTTATGATCCCCGAAATTTGAAAAAAATCCAATACCTACCTCCTCTCCCTACCCTCCTTAGTCAAGCACGATGTTCCTAGAATATTATAGGGATTTCCATTCGTGCGCACCAAGCGATAAAAAAGGTACATGATGCAATTATCAGCAAACACATTTCAGTGGACTAGATAGCAAGTTTTAATTTTCCAAACTTTGGTGAAACCTTCGAGGAAGCTTATCTTAGCACCTCAGTATACCAATATGAATATTACACCTAATAACAGGGTAAAATGAAAAAGAAGATCGGGAACGTCTCGTTTGACCCAATTTTCGATTCGTCCACTTTTCGATTCACCCACCGTCTCCGAACATACCCGAAAGATGCGTTGTTGTCAAATAATGTCACATTTCAACGGATTCAATGAAACGGAAATTAACAACAATCATTTCACATTCGAATATGTCGTTTCACCCAATTTTCGATTAGCCCAATTTTCGATTCGCCCAATTTTCGATTAGCCCAATTTTCTATTCGCCCAATTTTCGATTGTTGAAAAATGAATATACATTCTAGGATGATGATCAGGGTTGGCATGAATTAATTCATATGAATTAAATCAGTGATTTAATTCGTGAATTCCATTGACTTTTTTCGAAAAAGTCATGAATTCATTCAAATTCTCAAAAATGAGACAAATTGCACTATTACCTCTGATTTTAACTAGTTTAAACTGAAAAATTCGATCGTATTTTGGCAAGACTTTATTCAAAGCATGACAGAGATTTTTACTAACAGTAACAGATATACAGTATCAAGTATCATCCATAAAGTCCATAACATATGAGAACAGGTTTATTATCACAGCATCGATTTTGACACATGTCACGTGATCATTGGTATGGTGATGAATAAAAAACGACGAAAAGTGGGGTTAGATAACAAAATATCCATAAACATTTCTTGCTATTCCACATTCAGTTTCGAGCAATTTTTGGAAGAGAATTGGAAATAGCTATATTTTTTCGAATATTCTTAAATTTTGTTACAATTCTCTTTTTTTATCTGAAAGTAGTGATGTTGATGATGTACAAGTTGAATAGAATTCAATTTTATGCTCACATATGGAGTTTCCAGCCATTATTTGAGAAAACTGAAAATAGCTATTTTTATTTTTTTGAAATAACTTCATCTTCCCATCCAACCCCACTTTTTGCCATCGTAATTTTTTGAATTCACCGCCATACCAGTGATCAAGTGACAGGTGTCAAAATTGACTTTTAAGTAGTCAGACATGCATAATAGATCCCCGAGAAAAAAATGTTTCGATATTCTACTAATAAACTTTTTCTCCCTGTGTTACGATCTTTATGGATGATACTGGATCTATATGTATCTATTATTTTGTACTCTATCATCACTTTTAATTTTGTTTTGAAAAAATGACATGTATGATGTTATTCTACAAGATTTTTGAAGGGAATAAAAACATGTTTTTTTCGTTTCCTTTTTTATATTTCGCTTTGGGTAAATGAAATTTGTTTGTTTTTTTTTTCAAATGAATTAATTCAGGAAACGCTCATTTAGGCCGAGTTAGATAGGTTAGGTTAGCTAGTTTGGAAAAGGTAGTCTCCTTTTAACGTCGAAATACGGGGCGATCGAAATTCTGGTCAATCGAAAATTGGGCGAATCGAAAATTGGGCGAATTGAAAATTGGGGGAATCGAAAATTGGGGGAATCGAAAATTGGGAGAATCAAAAATTGGGTAAATCGAAAATTGGGCGAATCGATAATTGGGTGAATCGAAAATTGGGCAAATCGAAATATGTAACATACATATTTTATGTGTATCAAAAAATTGAAATATTTAATAATGAGCCCAGAATGAATCGTCATTCAGATTTGGCAACAACGCATCGTTCGGGTATATTCGGAGATGGTGGGCGAACCGAAAATTGGGCGAATTGCAAATTGGGCCAATCGCCTAAACCTATTAGCTTTTGAGCTACAGGGTGTTAGAATATCAAGAAGAAAGTGAGATTTCTTTTCATATTTTTTAATCACTCTCAGATAATTTCATGGAACTTTGTACACACATTTTGCTCATTAGAGAGCATTTTTTGACGTGGAAGATTTTTGAAAATGTTCACCAGTGACGTCCGTACTGGGCTCGAACTGACCATTTTTGAAAAAGAAAACTGTACGCCACTGATTTATTCAAAAACCAAAACTATTTGTGAACTTCCCATTTATTTTGGAGCAAATTTGGTTCCCACATTTATTACTTTTATAGAACGTACCATTTTATCATAAAAAAAATGAAAAAACTAAAACTTTATTTTCCTCAGTTCATTGAGATTGTCAGTAGGCACCCCCTATGAGTGGAAACACATTTTGTTTTGGGTTTTTACCACCCTGTAACTCAAAAATTCAGAGAATTAGGACAGATGTTGATATGAACTTTTCTCCTTAAAATCACCGGAGGATTAATCACACCTTGTATTATCGGCACTCAACTAATTAAAACACCCTGTATACTCTGCATATAAAGACAATTAATGAGAACAATAAATGCCATGATTAAATAGTTGTATTTGGAGTCCCCTCGCAGTTCATTCAAATCAAATTAATAGAATAATCTCAAGTTAAGTGGGTACTTACATCATCCACAAGAAAAGTGAAATCAAGCCCACTATTGGCATCATCCAAAATGTTAAGATTTCGAAGTGCCTTGGCTGCACTACTTTCAGGCAAGCAGCTCTTGAAGCAGTTCCCCATTTCGGTGGCAGTCCGAGGACTGCACATACTTCAACCCCCATGGGGCTTCGAATATTCCAATTCACCCGTTTTGATTCTTTATCGAAAAAACCTTCAGTAGGAAATACCCTTCTTCTGGTTAATTATGTAGATCCTCTATCTAATTACTATAATTTGGGAATTTAAACAAATCGATAATATCTCGGATATGTTTTTTAAAAAATAGAGTTTTCGAATTGAATGAAGTACCTACTTGTTCTGAAATATATTTTGAGGATAGTATTGTCCACAAACTGATATCAGTTATATCTTATATCACTGAAATTAGCAATCAAATTCGAATTTTTATTTTGAATATTGCTGAACTTTCGATGTCATGAAAACGAGGTGAGGGGTGAGGTAAGTGAGGTTGAAGTAACGCCTGTCACTGTCATTAGTCACGTAACAATCGACACTGTTTAAAAGCCTGCATGTCGGATTGTTAGTAGGATAAAAATCATTGCAGAATCCATGAAGAATCATGATACATGCATAGAAGATTTGATATAACTAGTTCTCAGAAATTATATTTTTATATTATATTAATTTACTGAGAGCAGTGAAATATCGGTGACGATTGAAGATGGAAAAGAATACCTTACTAAATCTACAGCTGTAGTCATAGTAGGTATTGCCATCTTCTATCACTGTCACCTTTTCAGTAGTTGTCCTTGTCTTCACACATGTTATTGTCAATTTGTCATCGACAGCTGTTCAGTGTCCGTCAGAAAAGAATATTTTTCAATAATTTTATCTTGGCAGTGAATACCGAGCGTGTGGTGAAAAAATGCAATTTGATTTTATTCCAGAAACTTATACAAAGCGGACTTTTATTTGTTCTGCTGCTTCGAATTTTCTCGTTTTTATTTGTTGTCATTGTTAACGTCTTTCAAAATGCCCTATTTTTAGCTAGTGCGTCTTCACAAAGGATTAAAAATGAGCTCCAAGCGCAAATCTGTGTTCAGAGATATCTACAGAAGGCAAATTAATAACAACATTAGAAGCTTTGCAGAAAATACCAAAGGTAAATATTCAAGACAAGTACTTACAGGTATCTGGAAGGGTGGAAGTAAGTATACTTACCACAAAAAACCCAGCCAAGCCTCAAATATATTTTCTGACCACTATTTCAGATGATGAAAGTCTCATACAGCGTTTGGGTCTTCTCAAAAGCCTTCCAATTCATCAAGGATGTGTGAATACAATCAGTTGGAATGAAACTGGAGAGTACATTCTATCTGGCTCAGATGATCAACATTTAGTGATCACAAATGGCCACAATTACAAAGTGAAGTCCAACTACTGCACTAGTCACCATGCAAACATATTCAGTGCAAAATTCCTGCCAAGATGTGGTGATAATCAAGTGGTTTCATGTTCTGGAGATGGTATTATATTACACACAGGTAATTGTTCAACACCTACATAATTTGATTGTATGCTAAATGAAAATGCATCACTGAAGAATTTCTTTTTTTGGTTCTTCAAGATCAAATGCACTTATATTGAAATTCAATATGTTTCAAAGTGGTAGTATTTTCATAAAATTTACTGTATTTTCAATCAACATTCCATGACTGAAAAAAACAAATAATACCTATGTGTGTGATATTTTTCTTAATTTTCTAATCAACACATGTTTTTTGTTGACATTGTTCAATCTGCCGGATTACGAGCTTCTCTGCATTTTTTGTATTTTGGATGGTTGAATAATTATTCCAAAAATTATTGTGATGAAATGTGAATCCTAGTGTTATAATAGCCTTTCTACTAAATAAAAAATAATGCTTTATGTCACCGTTCTTGGCGTTTACAGCATCATCATCTCAAGAACTATTTATAGGAAACTTAATCCATCATAATAGTAATTCGTCGCGCCAATAAAATATCGGAATTGTATTTCATCAAAACCGCATTTCATAGAAACTGTATTCCATCGGGACAGTAATTCATAGGAAACGTATTTTATAGCGACAGTATTTCATCAGAACCCTATTCCATCGGAACCGTATTCCATCAGAACCGTATTCTATCGGAACCGTATTCCATCAGAACCATATTCCATCGGAACCGTATTCCATCGGAACCGTATTCCATCGGAACCGTATTCCATCGGAACCGTATTCCATCGGAACCGTATTCTATCGGAACCGTATTCCATCGGAACCATATTCCATCGGAACCGTATTCCATCAAAACCGTATTCTATCGGAACCGTATTCCATCGGAACCATATTCCATCGAACCGTATTCCATCAGAACCGTATTCTATCGGAACCGTATTCCATCGGAACCATATTCCATCGGAACCGTATTCCATCGGAACCGTATTCCATCGGAACCGTATTCCATCGGAACCGTATTCTATCGGAACAGTATATTCCATCGGAACCGTATTCCATCAGAACCGTATTCCATCGGAACCATATTCCATCGGAACCGTATTCCATCGGAACCGTATTCCATCAGAACCGTATTCTATCGGAACCATATTCCATCGGAACCGTATTCCATCGGAACCGTATTCTATCGGAACAGTATTCCATCGGAACCGTATTCCATCAGAACCGTATTCCATCGGAACCATATTCCATCGGAACCGTATTCCATCGGAACCGTATTCCATCGGAACCGTATTCCATCGGAACCGTATTCCATCGGAACCGTATTCCATCAAAACAGTTTTTCATCGCGACAAAGAATTAAAAAACTACATTACAATGTCGATTCTATACCCTTATATCTTGTGATTCATTATCATTCCCATAGCTATTTTGACGAAACACCGTTCTGCTACAATATAGCTCCTATAAATCACGGTTCATATAAAATACAGTTCTGATGATTTACAACGCCTTTAGAATACGAGTATGATGTTTTACGGTCCCGACGAAATACAATTCTAACAAAGTACAATTTTGATGAATCACTGTTTTGATTATTTACCATTATGATGATTTATCATTCCGACAAAATACGATTCTACAAATTACTGTCGTGACAAAATGCCGTACTGATGAATTTTCTTTCTGATAAAATCAGGTTTTATTGAAATACCGTTCCGTCAAAATACGATTCTTATGAAATACTATTATGATAGAATACGGTTATGATTAATAACCATTCCTATGAAATACGGTATGATGTTTTACCTTCCTACAGAGTACATTCCTCCATTTTATTACATATGATTGATTACATTATAATTTTTTGCATTCCGATGAATTACGTATAATTAAATTACGGTTCCTTTAAAACACCAGGTTGATCGAATATATTCCAATACAATACACTTCCGATGGAATACGTTCTGACGAATTATATGCAGACATTTCAGGTACACGCCGAGAACGGTGATAAAATGTGAAATATGTGTTTGTTCTCTGACTACCCAATGAGCAAATGCACCAACATCGAAAATATTTCAGATCTAAATAGGTCTCAAGAAACTTACGATAATCAATTTAACTGTCATGGTGGAACGACAACTTATGAAGTTGTAACTATCCCTAATGATCCCTCTTCATTCTTGAGTTGTGGGGAAGACGGTACTGTACGCTGGTTCGATTTGAGAACAAAATCGAGGTATATATTTTCACTTATGATACCACGAGAGCAACAATTATCACCGGAAATTCAACAGGAATATTTTGAAAATTAACTCGAGTCAAAGACAAGGGAGAATTATCTAAATATTCGTGTTGGAGAATGAAATTCCTGTTTTTAATTGAAGCTAGAGTTGTAATCGGTAAGAAAATTTCACACCGAAATATTATTGAAAAAAATACCGACTTTAGTTGAACAAAATATTAATAAGGCAGCTGGCGGTAAAGTCCATGGTAGGATTAGATGTGATTTGTCTGAAATCGATAGGTTCTAGATTGCTAAAGCCAAATATGTTATGTGATTAAACACAATCAACTTGATTTAGTTACACAAAATAATGAAAAATGAGTCGATAGTAGCTCAATTTCTCAGTTTTTCAGATATTTGTTTCACTAAAGGTGGTAGAAATATATTTTCTCATGAGAAACTCGAAGTACTATTTAGTATCAATGACATTTGCACACATAATATCATTCGGTTAAATAAAACAAGATTACCCTTTCAGCTCGATCGGGATATACAGAGAAGTGCACAAAAAATGGCCAGGACTGTCACTTTTGAATTATTCGAGATAGGGTGTTGAAAATTGGTGGGCAGCTAATATACCAAATTGCTCATTAACTAACAAAACAATTTTTGTTCTGTCACTTCCGGTTTTACTGGAAACGACCCCAACTTTTGAAATTTAGATGGGACACCCTGTATTGTATTCCATAATCGGTTAGGGATTGTCATAAGAATTCATCGATACCGAGTTTGATAGGATTATTTCAAACGATTACGCCGATATTCGCGTTGTAAGTTTCCATATGCGCAATGAGTGTGACAGAGAAAGAAGTTTTGATATTGCGAAGTCACACCCATTGAGCATATGAAAACTTCGAACGCGAATATCTTAGTTATCGTTTGAAATAACCATATCGAACCCGGTATCGTTGAATTCGTCATGATAATCCCTAACCGATTATGGAATACAATACAGGGTGTCGCATTTAAGAATCGAAAGTTGGGGTCGTTTCCAGTGAAACTGGAAACGATAGAAGAAAAATTGTTTCATCACTTAATGAGCAATTTTGTATACTAGCTGCCCACCAATTTTCAAAACCCTATCTCGAATAATTCAAAATAAGTTACAGTCCTTGCCGTTTTTTGTGCACTTCTCTGTATATAACCCATTCAATAATATCAATGGGGCATATTTGTCCCATCTGTCAATGTCAAAAAACATATTTTGAATGATGCAAACGTGTAGGAGTGAACTAACTATATACAAAATAAGTCAGAAATCACAATTCCAACTCAGTTAATTCATGGAGAAAAAGTGGGGCTGAAAGGGTTAAACGACTTAAGTTGAATGAAATAATAAAAAATTAGTCGATAATAGATCAATCTTTCAGTTTTTCACAAATTCATTCAAAATATAGTCTTTCACAAGAAACTTATCAACTTACAGAATGAATTCAACATAATCTGACGTGTACATGTAAATGTCATTTTATCTATAAACGTCAAAAAAATCTCGGTGTAATTAACGTAACGATACAAAATACAGGCTTCTGATTGGTCGAAAATGTTAGGTGTGAAATTTTCGACTAAAATCCACACAGAATTTGTGATTTACCGTTGTTTCAGCTGTACCAAACAAAGGTGCAAAGACGACATAATAGTGTCTTGTCAAAGGGCCGTAACTGCTCTAGCTGTCAGCCCGACATCTTTCAATCAATTAGCAGTTGGTTGTGCGGATTCCACAGTGCGTATCTATGATAGGAGAAAGCTTAGTACTCAACACGGAGGTCTGTTTCATGTTGAAAATTTTCAAAATAACCAGAATTTCATAAATCGTTCGTTCTTTTCATTGTTCCAGATCATTTGCTTGCTAGGCCATTTTGTACTTTTGTAGCCCCTCATTTCGGGGCTGATAGGCACAATAGAATCACATCACTGAGTTACAGCACTGATGGAAGAGACATGTTGGTCAGCTATTCTTCAGATTATCTATATCTATTTACAGTTCAGGTCAGTTCAAGATGAAGGATCCTGTGTATATTCCATATCCATATATTTTTGTCTCTTTTTTATTGAAAATACAGTCCCGTGAATTTTTTCTAATGCAATTTGATGTAAGAAACCCGGGAAATAGTATATTGTTTAACGAGCACGGAATGATAGTGATTTCCTACGAGAATGAAGTTTGCAGCATGAGTAGGAAATTAGCATTCCGTGCAAGTTGTACACTATAATTTTTCTACGGCTCTAACAGATAGCGGCATTTTCGATTTCTTCGGCTTGTAGCCATTTGATATCCTGTCAAGTAATGCTCATCTATTAGACACAATGAACTCAATATGAACAACTGGAAGGGACCCTCTGTGAACGACGAGTGAGGCAAAAATATTGTTCAGGCAACCCGCAGTGTTTACGGATATATACCTATCTCTATCTTATGTTCGCTAATGGGAAGCGCTCGCATTATTTGAAATATTTTCTCTTTTTTTGCTTTTATTTAAGAGTAAACGTGATTAAATAAAAATATTCATATGGGAAAAAGGAAAATGTTGCAATTAATTATCATTAAAAAATTATCATTGGTTACAGGATTAGAAAGTCAAATGAATACAAAATTGAAATTATATTTTTTCATTCAAATGTCACAATATATTGTACAGGGTGAGTGAAGCACATTGTCTCAGCACTATCAGAAGAAAAAGAAAAATGCTGCGAAAAATTTAAAAAGAGGTTCTTGAATGGTAGTGACTACCTAAGGTCCATTTTGAGCATAATATCCATAGGTTCCTATTTTACCATTAGGTCACTGCCTACAAACATATTTGAAAAATACAATTCTAAATACAATATCCTATTCCAATGAAACAGTTTGGATTTCTTTATTGATGAACTTCGAAACATAGGCGCTGGAAGTCATAGGTGAAGTCCATAATATGAGAAACATCTTCCTTAGGACCCAATTTTTTTTTATCGCTTGGAGCGCACGAAAGGGAATCCCTATAATGTTCAAAGAACATCGTGCGTTCCTAGGGAGGATAGGGATAGGAGGTAGGTGGATCCTGAAAATAAATTACTTGCTATTTTTTTATTTTAAAGAGGTGCAAACATACTTTAGGTACCTATGAGTTTTCTTATTTCCCTTCAGCATCTGGTTTCAATAACCTAGCAGTACCTGGTATGTCTAAATAAATAATCAGTTGGCAGGAAATGCTCTCCACAAAGCTCGCTGGTTTTAGATGGAGTCCAACTCTCTTTACGGAATGCCTTGATCCATAATAATTCAAGAATGTCTGATTGGAAAACTGCAACAAATAATATTACTTAATATGTTTATGGAAAAGTCATGGAAGTATTTAACTTTGACAAATAATGTAGGTATAGTTTTTGAACATATTCTGAGACTGGGAACATTGTACACCTAACTGATGATCATTTCAAGAACTATATTTTCCAAAAATCTGAACAATATTCAACTTACCCATGGAATGACAATTTCCTTTTGTCTTGTTCGTTCTTGCATCCAAAGGCGACACAATAAATCACCATTGTTTATCAAAACCTTCTCAACAATCAGTTCACAGTGTTCACACCAACAATTTCATTCCTTTTTATAAAACAAAACACGCCAAATGAATAGATATTTCACATAAACCAAGACAATGAACTTATTTCTTCACTTTCTTGCCTGTTTAGATGAGAGGAAAAAATCTAAAGTACTTTAATTATTAGATAAAAGAAAACGTAAACACCAATCCACCATTAAACAACACGAGTAGAAAAGAGACAGGTTACCATAAATCATGCTATCTTTGTTGCAGCTGTCCCTGACACACTTTGTGCTATTTCCAGAGAACGGCCGTCTCGCTTTCAGTTGTTCATATTGAGTTCATTGATTAGACAGAGCTGTCATTGCTTGCAATTTGACATTCCATGAGCGATGAGATTTTTGAAATAATAACACAATGGAGTCATTGTGATATCAGATACGGAAATAGAATTGATGACATACAAAGTACCTCATTGATGTATCAAATACAGTAAAACAAGAGCAATTGTGTGTTATAGCCGTAGAAAATAGCGAAGCCGAGCGAATGCAAAATTTGCGAGTCGAACAAAGTCACTTTTGATCCGAATGAAACATGCTATTTTTTCTGCAACCGAAACAATTAACTCAAATAAACATGTGAAGTAACCACCAATGCCGTGCCATATGTATGCAATGCAACAAATATTGAAAAATAATCCATGTGGTGAGAATATTCTACTTGCATTAACAGCAGGTTAGGTTTTCTAGGATGTTCGAATTGTAGTTTCAATATAAATACAACCACAGAGTGATATATATTTGTGTATGGACCAGATGCTCTAATGGCAAATACCGCGCCAGTGCCAGCTATAGGAACAAGACGTGGAAAATGTTAGGGTGTGAGCATATCAACAATGATAATAGAGATTATTTATTCCTCTCCATACTACACTGTGTTTGACTTGATAATCAAATAAAGCTAAACAATATCGTTGTTTGAGACAAAAAAACTATTGCTTGCCGTGATTATTCAAAAACAAGTAATCCATCCCGAGAATAACGAATGAAATACAGATCAAGCAAGTATTTAAATCTTGAAGGCTTCCCTGATCAAAACAAAAATACTTAGCTGAGATGTTTATAATTTCAATACTAAACTATAATAAGGTGTATTTATATCTCCAGCATGGGTATGAAATGCTAAATCTGCGGAAACAAATCAGGTATGCGTGTCAACCCAAATAACCAACCGTCACAATGTTGTTTATTCTTGATGACGTCCAGTAGATCCTACATACTAGAGAAACATAACATTTTTGTGTCACTTATCGATGAATCATTTCAGTCACATGGAATTTCGATCGAAAATCATTATCACTCTGTATAATTCTGTGCCTCACCTTTGTCCGACTGTCCCCACCTCGTTTCCCTGCGCCCCGAACTAAAATTCAACTTTAGCTCCTAGGAACTAAATATGTTGCCTAGCAACATACCTATTTTTGTGTCAGTAATAGAAACGTCAATTTAAGAGCTAAAATTTTGGTATCAAAATGGACGACTTTTGTGTCGGTTGCAGAAAAAATAATATTTCACCATTTTGTTTCATTATTTGAATCAAATGGGTAATCAAAATTGACAATGACTGGGTGAACACAAAATGATGGATGATATGAACTTTGCGTGAGATTGGAACGAATTCGGACAATAAATTTTATGTTTCACATGGCAGAAAGGCAGATTTATTGCCCGCCGCGGCATTACATCTTGCCTCGATTATTTCAGGAAAACACTGCCACCCAGCTGAAGAAACCCAGCAAGAAGATGTCGCCGTGGGAGCGGATCAGGGCGGCGGCGGCAGGAAAAAGAGACAGGCTGTCCCCGCCGCCAGTGAGAAGGTTGCGTCTCAGGGGAGATTGGTCTGATACGGGTCCAGATGCTCGCCCTGAGAGGGACGGCTCAACCACAACTAGTAAGTCACATGAAACACCATAAACCTTGAATAACCCGAACCTTCGTTTTCATTGATCTCAAAAAGGCTTTTGACGGCTCAAGTTTGGTAATATGGTCATGGTAACAAGTAAACAAAAACACGATTCCCGTGGTGAGGAAACGCGTGTTGTATCGGAGAAATATTGCTTTATTCATTAATTTCAAAAACACTTCATCAATGCAACCAGGAAGAGAGACACAGGTACTTGTTGCCTAATACAGATGGGAACATCGCGTTAGGCCCAAATTTCGATCTACCCACATTTCCATTCGCCTTCATTTCGATTCACCCATACCTTTCTTCACGCGCACATTTTGATTCAGTCACAGTCTTCGAACACACACACGAACGCTGCATTGCAACCAAATCTGATCGATGTTGAAAAATATATTTCTTCTAAGAAAAAGGTTCATTTAAGCCGATTTGGAGTTTAGAAAAAGTAATGTCCTTGTTTATGCAGGAGGGATATTTTCCTTCCTTCCTGATAAAAGTATCGACTGTCTTCTAAGGAAGAAGGTTCATTTAGGTCGAGTAAGGTTAGATGGTTCAAAAAAAGTAGTGTCTATGCAGGAGGTATATTTTCCTTCCTCCCTCGAAAAAGTACCTACTCTCTTCTTAGGAAGAAGGTTAATTTAGGTCTAGTAAGGTTAGATGGTTGAAAAAAAGTAGTGTTCATGCAGGAGGGATAATTTCCTACCTCCCTGAAAAAAGGACTGTCGAGGCATTTCCTGTTGAGGAAAGTTTTGACAAAATATTTTCTATAGTGAAAGGTGTGTTTTGGCTGAGTTAGATGCTGTTATTTTGAAGAATGGTGAATTTAGGTCAGATTAGGTCAAGTTAGTAGAATCAAATTACCCATGATTATAAACTACTCAATAAGAAATTTGTATTGGGACACAAAATACTGACGTAGATTCTTTCTGAGGAGATAATTTGCTATTTTCAATCCATGTACCTTCCACCACTGAAATATCTCGTCTACAATTTCAAGATTTAGGATGATGGTATATCTCCAAATCTGATTCTTTAAAATAATAATGGTAAAAGGCTCAACCGGATTCTTGTGTTCCTTGGATTTGGACTTGCAATGAGGTCTTGCTGGCACCAAACCTCGACTCAGAAGATAATTCATAACTGTCTTTCTGATTCCTCAAATTTTTAAATTTTTTTGAATGAAATGAAAAATATAACACTCGGTACCATGACGATCATTGATAAAATTTGGATGAAGGTCCTAATAATCTTTGGAAGTTGATCAAAAGTGTTAAGAATAAGAAAACCGTCATACCTCCTCTAAGAGGAGAGAAGGGAGTCAAGTACAGCACTGCCGAAAAAGCTGAAGTCTTTGCTGAGTCACTTGTATCACAATTCAAGTTGAATGAGTCGCAGAAGTATGATCAGGAATGGGATGGTTCTGTGGAGCGAGTAGTCCTGGCCCATTTGAATAATGACGTTCACGATTTAAGAATAAGGCCCGCCTCTACGGATGAAATAATCGTCTACATCAAAGCACAAAAACTCAGGAAAGCTCCAGGTAATGATGGAATTACAAACAGAATATTGAAAAGGATTCCTGGTAATTTCATCACTTACTTATGTCAAATCATCAACGCCATATTGAAACTATTATATTTCCCTCAAAGATGGAAGCATGCCGAAGTAGTGATGCTTAAGAAGCAAGGCCAGGATAATGCTCTTCCGCAGAGCTATCTTCCTATCAGTCTCCTGTGCCCTCCATCTAAGATAACTGAGCGAGTGATTAAACAGAGGTTACAGGAATTCATCGACGACAACGAGCTAATACCAGATGAGCAGTTCGGTTTCAGAACTGGCCACTCAACTGAACTACAAGTCTTGAGACTCATTGAGAACACAATATCGTTGAGAAATGATAGACAAAAGACCCATCTTGCTCTCCTTGACACAGCGAAAGCATTTGACAAGGTGTGGCATGATGGTATCTTATACAAAATGATCGATATGGACTTTCCTGACGATTTGATTCAGTTGATGTGTTCATTTCTGAAAAATCGAACTTTTCAAGTGAAACTTGATGATCAACGATCTGGTATCAAGCCCATTGAAGCTGGTGTTCCTCAGGGTGCAGTTTTATCGCCGCTGTTGTACAGTTTATATACTAGCGATTTGCCGAGACCAGTGATGTGCAAGATGTCGCTTTTTGCTGATGATACGGCAGTTCTTGCATATTCGACAAATTGGTCGCACTTGGAAGGGATCGGAGGCCTCCCAGAACCTGAATAGTCCTGGATGGTCATGAGTGGTCTTCACAAGTTTAATACTTAGGTGTGTGCATTGTCAAAAAGCTCACTTGGACCCAGCACATTGAACAGCAAGTTTCAAAAACTAAATGAGCCATTGGAGCCCTGTATCCATTTCTAAACAGACGAAGTAAATTGGGTTTGAGACAAAAATTGAATATTTATATCATGGCTATCAGGCCAATTTTACTGTATGCCTCAGTAGTCTGGGGCCACACAGCTAAATCTCATATCACCAGATTACAAAATCGCGAGAATGGTGACAGGATCTCCTTGGTATGTTCGGAATAACCAGATCGCCAGGGATCTGAAACTCCCTTCAATCGTCGAGATTGTCCATAAACTTGTAACAAATCAATGTCGCCGCCCATGCCCTCTTTTAAATATAATAATAATTATCAAATATTCTTCGGGAGGCTAGGCAACCAACTATTCATTCACACAGATTCAAATCCGTGTGCGCGCCTAGGGTCAGTTGTTGTGGAGAGGGGATTTTCTGAAATGGCTTGCGCTGGTCATTTCACTCTCGAACGGGCAGTTTTCTCAACCAAGTGAATAATAATTTAACATCCACGTTGATCGAACCCATATTCTGTGTTTTTGGTTTCCTATGTGCCCAATGTTCCTCTGGAACATCTTGGCCTGTGCCTGCATATGATATTTAGGTGGGTAAAACTCTTTTATATTATTTTATGATTTGTTGACCGACCTTTCAGGTCACATGTTAGTTGTACCTACTTTTCTTTGCTCCTTTGTAATTTAATCGCCCATTATATCAAGTGATAGACTGTCCTGGTGCTCATTAGTGCATATGATATTTAGGTTTTCGACGTTCCTCTCAACCCGAGATCTTGGTGAACTTTTGAAGTGAATAAATAGTCTCCTGAACCATCCATGTTTTAATCAGTAAACCCACCAAACCCCTGAGACCGTTACAAACTAGAGAAAATATCGACATTATGACCAAATTTACTATTCTCAAGTTTTTGACATTTCGTTCGATCTCTTTCAATTCTCAGAATGTATTTCTGAAACTTATTTGGGACAGAAGGGCTGTTCGCAATATCGTTTTTATTTTGTTCCATAATATATATCAGGATAAGAGGGACTCTTCCCTGGTCTGAATAAAATAAAAGAAAGATCCAATATACTCGGTACCATGACGATCATTGATATAGCAATAGTTTTTCCATAGCTGATTTCAGCTAAACTAAACAGTTATCAGTTCGTCCGAGATTAAATTGTCAAAAAATATGCATACGAAAAAGTTTGAGCAATATTTCATGTAGTCCCACCCTGTATTATACACTCCTGAATGAAACTTCGAAATGATTTTATGTTCACCATGGTAGGGGGCCGTAGCTTCCTTAGGGGTCATTTCTTGTCTCATTCATATTCATTGAAACTTTTTTCCTATTTTTGGTCTCAGAAGCCGCTGTTGGAGTTTGGCAGGTTAACTTTGGGACACCCTGTATATTTCCACCATGAATTCCTCTAGGTCTCGGGCAGGCGAGGCCGCAACTGCAAGCCACCCTGATGCAGCGCATGACGGACGTGCTGTCGCGCATGCTCAACGATCCGATGACCAGGGCGGCGCTGAGCGCGGGCGGCGAAGACTCGCTCGATCCCGAAGAGGGCGTGGCCGAGAACAGGGAGGGGCCAGCCCGAGAGGGGGCGGGACCGGGCGGGGCTCAGGGAAACGAGGCGGGGACAGCCGGACGAAGGTGAGGCACAGAATTAAACAGAGTGGAAATGATTTTTGATCAAAATTCCATGTGACTGAAATGATTCATCGATAAGTGACACAAAAATGTTATGTTTCTCTAGTATGTGGGACTCATTATGAATAGCTTTGACCACATCTTATTTATCTGCAAGGTGAAATAAAATAATCGATGACGTCACCACAACTACGCGGATGACGTCACATACTCCGTATTTATATCGGGGTGTCAATTTGAAAATAAAAATCGACTTGTCTCAGGATTTTCCTTCAAATTCATATGCCTTAGAGATAATGAATTTGTTCCATACATTTCCACCATACTGTATAATTAATACTGAATATTCGTTTTCAATACATATTATTATCATCGACTCTCACCGTCGCCTCTCGTCCTTCTAGCGCCACCGTCCCGCTATCTGCGGCCACGCCTACTACGACCACGCCCCTGCCCAGTACGACCACGCCCCCCGCCACGGCCACCGCCCACCTGCACGGCCATCTCACTGCGCTGCGCAACCTGCGCGAAGGCTTCATCGAGCAACATGGCGCCGAGCCGTCGGTCAGTTTCCGCTATTCGCAGCAGAGCACCTCGAACAGTACGATCAGTCTGAGAGTGGGCAGGGAGGTGAGCAACGGCGGGGGAGGGGGAGGGGCCGAAGGAGAAGGGAGGGGTGATGATGTCGAGAGGATGGTGAGTGGGGTTCTGCGTGTTTAGTGGAGGTGTTTGTCTTCGGTCGTTCCATAGAAACCTCCCCCCTCTCTCGAATAGAATTTATTTATTTCAGTTATTGCATTACATTCTTTTCTTCATTGATACATTTTATATAAAGAATAACTAATTTTTTAGAAGGAATGACATAAATCACTGAATGATCAGACAGTAATTCCTGGTATAAGATCATTCATGAAGTATTATCGGCTGTTGTAAAATTGAAATTACAAATAGTGAACACAACTTACATATCATCAAGATATCTCAAAATAACGGTACTCATATTATAGTGAACAGTGGAAAAAAATAAACAGTGAAGAAAAAAAAAAGTGAAATTCATAGTCTTTCAGCTTTTCATTCCTTTGCATATAAATATATTTCTTCACTTAATTTTAGAACTGTATAATATTTGGGCTGTTTTTGATATCATCTGGTAATCTATTGATCTCATGTCTAAACTTTTTTTGTCTAAGTTCAGAATTTGCAACTTCAAGATGAAAAAAGTTATATTGTCTAGTGTGATGACTATGAATTTGGGAATTCCTAATTAATATAAAATTTGATTTAAGCTTTTTGTTGATGATTTAATAGGAAATTTTGAGAGTATTGATTAAAAAGTGCTCTTCCAAAGAAAATGTATTTGTTTCCTTATATAGTTGATTTGTTGGAGTATCATATGAAATCTCTTATGTCCCGTACCGAAACTGTCATGGCCGACTGGAATAGTGAATCTTCCAATCCGATTGATGGCAATTAGATAGATAATGTCAATTTTCCAAGTCAGCTGCCAGTAGTCATGTGCCCCCATTACTGTTCATCTTATTGGTTCCTTGATGTGCAGTTAATATTCTTTACTTTTTAGTGAAATAGTGGGGAATCATTTTCATGGTGGTGCTGATGGCGTTGTTCTGAATGTCACTATGGGAGATTCCATTCTATTTGTGGGGTTTTTCTATGGCTCGTTCCTTTTCTATTTTCTCAATGGATTTGGATTTGAAACGATGAATTATCTAGTATGACTTCACTGTTTTACCACTACCAAAGCGATTTTTTAAACGCATCGACACGTATTTTATTTTCGTTAACCATTAAAAACTGTTTTAATCTTCTCCTGAAGATGCTAACATAGTTAGCGAAACACGTGTCGAGGCGTTAAAAAATCGGTTTGGTTAGTGGTAAAACAGTGTAGTGTATTATCGTGCCAAAGGTTCCAGTCTTCGATATATCAAAGTAAGGTTTTATAAAAATCTGTCGAATAGTCCTAATAATTTCAGAACACTGATGTTGACTTGGATTATCCAGAGGAATATGTTGAAGCTGAGAGTAAAATGGAATGTGATGACAAGAAGGTGGAAGAAGAGTTCTGCATTCATGAAGCAGAAATGAAAATGAAATATGTGGGGCACCGGAATTCAAGGTAGGTTTTTTTTATCTAAACATTCGGAAATTTAATTCCTTCTTCATTTTCCACCGTCTTATCATCTTCGATTATTGTGTTAATTTGTATATTTATATCTGTTATTATCTATTGTTTACAATTATCGTCTCATTATCCTTCATCTATTGGCTGTTATTATTTGTTGTTTTCTGTTCCCTATTTCTACATTGTTGATTATTGTATTCACCCAAATATGATGGTTTAAACGTCTATTTCCAAGAATCATCGTCGATTTTTGTCTAATTTCGTATATTCATATGTGTTTCTATCGATGCCTTTTCTATGGTTATGTCTATTATTGTCTATTGTAGCCTGCCATCGTCTATTACTATCGATTCGAGTCTTTTATCTTTATTTTTGCACGTTGATTTATTTTATTCTCTAGTATTGCTCTTTATCTTCTATTTTTGTCCATTATCTATTGTTGGATTTCTATCAATGTCTTTTCTGTGGTTATCCATTGATTATAAATGTATATTATTTGCTGTACCTTAGTGTTAGTTATCAATTTTTCATTGTCCGTTGTATATTTGTTGACTGTTGCTCATCGTTGTATTGTTGTTATATCAATGAATGACCCTATATAATAGTTTGGTACTTATATTACCCTGCATAGTATCAGATATTTTCATTTGTAGTTAACATAACGACGTGTTATTGAAACATAAGATTAATCAATAAAATCAATAAAGAAGGATTGCAATACAAATTATCTACCTTCATAGCATTATCATATATCATATAACCATATAAATACAGTCCACTATCTATCATCGAACATATTGGTCCTTCGAGCCGGATCTATTCAAATCGAACCTTCAGACTGTCAAGTTCTTCAAAACAGATACATAGTTGTGTTATCGTTGTTCATTGTTCATTGTATATTTGTTGTCTGTTGCTCATCGTTATCTGTTTTTAAATCTATCATTGTTCGTTATTGACTATCATTGTGTTTTATTGCCTTTTGTTGTTTATTTTCTATTGCAGTCTGTTCCAAGATTTCCATTTGTAGTTAACATGACGACGAGTGACGACATAAGATTTATCAATAAAATCAATAAAGAAGGAGTGCAATACCAATTGCAATTTTAATATCAACCTTCATGCCATTATCATATATTATACAGGGTGTTTCATAGGTAAAGGGAAATATTTCAATGGTACATAGGGGTCACCAAGGTGGTTCTGAAAATACCATATTTGATAGGTCTTAGAGTCTTCGTAACGGAGATACAGGGCGATTTATCGATTTCGAATAATTATTCATTCGTCTATAAGTATTGAACTACCCAGTATATTTTTCTAAAATTTGGTATGGAGCTCATACTTGGGACGTTGAATTCATTCACCTATCGGGTGAAGTGAAAATCCAGGTTCGGCTTCAGGAAAAATTTACAATTATTCGAAATATTAAAATAACACACTGTATGTAATAATTGACAGAGCTCATCAAAGGAATCGTGAAGAGGAAGAAAAACTGAACTGGATTTGATGCTTTTTGTTTTCCCGCCACCAATTCTCATCGTAGCAATCATAAACAGAAAGCTAAAAGTATGTCAATTTGAAGAGTATTGAAATTATTAAACCACTTTCAATTATGATTATTTGATATATTCTTGTTAAATGATCGTTCGAAAGAACTTACTCAGTCTCACAGTCTTTATAACAGAAATACAGGGTGAATTATCGGTTTCGAATAATTATTCATTCGTCCATATAAGTATTAGACTACCCATCGCAGTAATATTTTCTCAAATTTGGTATTGAGCTTACTTGGGACGATGGATTCATATTGACCTATCAGGCAGAATGGAAATAAAGGTTCAGCTTCTGTAAAAGTCTCATAGTCTTTATAACAGAGATACAGGGTGAATTATCGAATTATAATTATTTGGTATTATTTCCATTCCGCCTGATAGGTTAATGAATCCATCGTCCCAAGTAAGCTACATACCTACCAAATTTGAGAAAATGTTACTGGGTAGTTTAAGACTTATGGAGACTGTGAGACTTAGTGAGTTCTCTCGAGCGATTTTCCTATCAAATATGGTATTTTCAGAACCACCTTGGTGACCCCTATCTACCATTGAAATATTTCCCTTCACCTATGAAACACCCTGTATAACAATACAAATACAAATACAGTCAACTATATATAAACGAACATATCGGTCCTTCGAGCCGGATCTATTCAAACCGAACTTTCACGACTGTCAAGTTCTTCACAAAGGATACAGAGCATGACATGACATAACACATACATAAGAACAAATACATGTTGAAAACATCATCAATCTTTGATCTTCTCAACAATATTAACGTATTTTATTGTCCATTGTTGTCTATTTTCTATCGCTTCCTGTCTATCAATGTATGGGTCTTGTCTATTATTATTTCATGATGTCCGTTGTCCATTATTGTCTGTTATTATTTCAAGATGTCCGTTTCCAATGGTTGTTTATTAAAGTTACCGACGTCCATTTTTGTTTATTTTCAATTACTCTCTCCCTCTTGCCATCTTAGAACAATGATCAAGGAGGCGACTTTCTGGGGCGACGAGCACGTCATGTCAGGCTCGGATTGCGGTCACGTGTTCGTGTGGCGGCGCGACTCGGGCGCGCTGCGTATGCTGCTGCAGGCCGACCAGCACGTGGTCAACTGCCTGCAGCCGCACCCGACCTTGCCCCTATTGGCCACCAGCGGCATCGATCACGACGTCAAGCTGTGGGCGCCCGTGCTGCAAGAGGCGCGCTTCGACGAGGAGATGGCCGCCGATGTGAGTACTGCAATGTTGCCAACGACCTGTTTTTTTTATGTTCTCGTTCCCACGAAAAGGGATATCCTGTAATCTCTGATAGAAGTCCATGTTTGCTTAAATAATGATGTAGTTATTCAACGGGACATGTTTCGAACTTATAAAAGTCCATCTTCAGCCGTATTTTCGAAATTACTACAAGCAAAGACATGTGAAAATATAGAAATTGTTATAAAACCAAAATTGACTTACATGGAGGTGAACATTATTTTGTAAACAAATAATGACAGTTCACTGAAGCTACCCTACCTTTTGCTAGTAGCATTTTCAGCAGAATTTTGTGTCGAAATATTTGGAATGAATAGTATGTCTGCTCACAAGTATCTGTCACTTTCAGTGATTTATATTTATGTCGGATTGAAAATTTCACACCAAACATTTTCGATCAATTTAAAGCCTGTATTTCGTGTCGTTACCATAGCAACTAGACACATTTCTTGGAAATTATCTCCTCCTCGGGGGACGGAGCATGAAATTATACTGGAAATTTTTTGACGTTCATAGGTTAAATGACATTTACATTCAACTTCAGATTATTTCGAGTTCATTCTATAAATCAATAAATGAAAATCATTTATCAACAGTTTATCCGGAAATTTTTTCTCGAACACGAATATTTTGAAAAGTTTCCGGAAATAATTGAAGCTCTCGTGATATTATAAGTGAAAATTCAGCAGATTCAGTACTGTCAGTTGAATTCCAAATATAGCCTAAATATACAAAACGTCAATACAGCAGTGTCAAGAACAGGAAATCTAGAAAAAGCAAGTTCATAAAAAATGCACCGCAGGGTGAAATTTTTTCGAAATCCAGCTCATTTCTAGCTTTTTTAATACTTACTTCGCCATACTGTTTACCACTACCACTCGTCGCACTGGTCTGAACTTTTTCCGTACTCAACAACTTTTTGTCTTTGTTCATCACGTGTAATTTTAAATGATACATAATATACAACGAGTACATAAATTCAGGCGGTTGGAAATAGTATATTACACACCAAGGTGGGAAGAGATTCATTTCTGTCGTGAGATTAGTTAGTTAACCGAGACGCGCATCGAGGTTAGTATACTATTTTATTTACAACCATCATAATTCGATCAAAACTAATAAATCTCTGTTTCGTTCTGAACATACCTAAAATAGTACATAAGTGAGGGCGGGAAATAGAGCTGTGTAATGTGACACTTCCCAACCTTCAATGACGTTAGTAATGACAACATTACATGCAGGATATGTCACGACAAGCTTCCACTATCTCTAATCGAGAATCAGTCGGGAGAATACGCTCTCTTCATTCAAAATATGTTGAGCAATGCAGTGTTGCCGCTTCTATCAAAAAGTAGCAACAACTTTGTTATTTCAAATAGAATATCCTGTATTTTATTTGTTTTCTGAGCTTCTCCCTGAAGAGCTGATTCCATCGATACATCACACTTGGGGTCTATCGGAAATCAAGTTTAGCAGGTAGAGCAAGCTCAAACGAACATGCCTTTTGTTTAGTATTTTTACCCTATATATACTTTCATCCTATATAATTAATTGGGTAACTGTATTACCCTATATAAAATTACATTTGAGTTGTTAACATGACGACGTGTTGTTGAAACAGAAGAATGAATCAATTAAGTTCAGGAGAAGTTGCAATCTCTTCCCTTCAATTTTCATTTCATCAGTTTCTTATCAAACAATCACAATTATATTATATACAGTCCACTTATCACCAAAGCATCGAACACCTTTAAAGAGACAGAGGTAATGTTCTAAGAACAATAGAAGGGTAAAATGATCGAGGAACCAAGGCAACTAAATAAGAACGAGCCACACAGCACAGTAGTTGCGTTTTATTGGAATTGTTAGTGTCGCCAGTGAGACAGAATCGCCCCGTTTTGTTGTCTATTCTGTGGAATTTTTCATCATCCTGGTGGCACTGGCCAATAGGTCTCAGAATATCGAATGCGTGGTGGAATGTTTTTTTGGACTTCTTCATTACATATTCTGAAGAAGGTCAGTTTGAAACATGGATTTAAGTTTGTCATCTTATATATGAATCAGAGATGTATAGAAATTTAACTGGTGGGCTCACTCTTCAATTGTTTCGTCAGACTAACTTTCGATATGGAACAATTGCAAGCGAGTTTTGGATGTGGGGTTCAGATATTTGCGATATTGCGATAGAGGCGCCATAATCGGAAAACCGTTCAAAACCTTGGTTCTGTGAGGGATGAATCTATTTCCATCATTGTTCTGTGGTCGACTAAATACTGTGCTCAACATTTTCATTCAAATTTCAATTTGAAATAGAAGCAATAAATCTTTTTAGTAGCCTATTTTAATAAGCTTTACTTCTTTCATGACATGAACCTATTTGAAGCATGAAATTTGATGAATGGCCTCTTTGAAGAACCAGAACAAAGAATGTATCAACTGCAATGAATCTCAGGGGTCTGTGTTTGCGGGGTTCGGCTGAGTAAAAAATTGCTCGTCGGGTAGCAGATCTTTATTCAAACTGGAGGAACAGAGGTGAAATGCGGCAGGAAAAATCTCAGTGGCGAAAGGAGACCAGTTCTTAGTCTAAATTCATCCAAGTCTACAAAAGGGGCATAAATATTAACTCCTAAGCCAGAACACACTGGTTACACTTGCTAACATTAAATTCGATGATTCAAACTTCGTCATGCTCGACAAAATAGGTTAAGTTCTACAATTTATCGAAAATGGGTTTCACCTACCTACAAAAGGGCATAGGCGAGAGGTCCAGCGCTGCCAGGAGCGTAGACGCTACAATAAAACCAAAAACACCCTCTGCAAAACTGGATGCACAATGATTTAAAATCAATAACCTTTACAGTTTCAACATTCAGGCACCATCTTCTAATTTCCTTCTCTTCCCCTTCCCCCGTTCAAATAACCCTGACTTCCTTTCGAATGGAAATAGGCGCGCGATTTAAATGAATGACCCTGGCTCAACTCACGATTATTCAGCCGTGTATGCTTGGTTGCCGCAATTCAGACGCGATCTGTTACATCTTCACCCCCCTCCCCTTGAGTGAAAGTGCAGTGGAACGTCACTGAACTCAGTCAGCACCCCTGGGATGATTTCCTATGGGGGCTCATTGTATTTTTTCAAGTGGGTCGCATGAAACATACCTCGTTCCCGTTCGTCATCGTACGACAAGATGTAAGTATCCTCACGTATTCTTTTTTTCACCCTGTAAGGGCCTTCGAAGAGTAACAACAGTTTTTTCGTTTCAGCTTTCAGTGTGGAAGAGATATTATTCGCTTTCAGCAATACCAGGTCACCGGGGATGAATTTCTGGTAAGGTCGACCCGGATACATGAGTGCCCGCCGTGCCGCCTTGTTGTGGAGTGAAGCCTCTGCCAAGACCAGTTTCTCTTGGTGAGGAATGGGAGTTGGTAATACCGGGCGTAAACGCGCAGGTAGGAGGACGGGGCGTTCGACACCTAGCTGGAGTTCATTCGGAGTGAAACCTGTGGCTTCGTGGACTACCGAGTTCAGAAACTCCTCAAATTGGTTCAGTTGGATGGCCCATTTTGAATGTTGGTCGTGACAAAAGGTCCTCATGATCCGGCCAATTTCACGCATGCAGCGCTCAGATGGGTTAGCCGCTGCGTGGCGAACTGAAATGTAAACGAGCTTGATTTGAAGGTTATCAAATGTTGTTCGCCACAACCTAGACGTAAATTGAGTAGCGTTATCGTGCAGGATTCGTTGCACCGGCCCATGGGTTGGTAGGTAGTCCTCTGTCAGGCGCTTTATTATTGATTGGGTAGTGGCTCGCTTGAGGGGGTAAAGTTTGAGGTACTTGGTGAAGACGTTCAACACCACTAGTATGTAAGTGACTCCACCGCGGCTTCTGACCAAGGGACCCAAACAGTCTATCGCTAGCAAATCGTTCTTGTTAGTAGGCAAGATTTGCAATTGTGGAGGTCGAGGTAACACCGATATTTTTGCCTTTTGACAAAGGTCGCAGGATTTTAAATATTTTTTTATCTTACGTTGCATATTTGTAAAGTAGACTTCAGACTTCATTGCCGAATGGGTTTTGTACAGGCCAAAATGTCCGAAAGCTTCATGATAACTACGAGTACATGCTTCCACCAGACTTTCTGGAATGCATAACAGGACACGACTTTCGTCATTTCCATATTTATAAAGGATATCATCGAACACCACAAACTGCCGGGCAAGCGTGTCCTCTGTTTCAACCCTATTCTTTATATCTAATAACTTGAGATCTTCCGCCTGCCGCTGTTTTATTTCAGTAAGAGACTGCTGGAATTGAGACGGAAATTGCAGGTTCAGCAGCTGAAAACAATTATCTTGGGGGGATGGTAACCTGACACAACTATGACGAGAGAGGGCATCTACGACGAAATTCTCTTTCCCTGCAACATGCACAATGTTGAAAGAGAACTCCTGTAATGCCAGAGCCCAACGAGTGATCCTAGGGGAAAGGAGTCTACAGGTATTTAAATAGGTGAGTGTCCTGCTATCAGTATACAATGTAAAAACTCCCCCTAACAAATAGATTCTCCACTTCTGGATCGCCCACAAAGCAGCTAGCACCTCCTTCTCGTTTGAGCTATAACGACGTTCCCTATCCAAAAGGAGGCGACTCGCCCACGCAACGACCCTATTTTCGCCCTCCACCACCTGAAACAGTTGAGCAGCTATACCTTTGTCGCAGGCATCGGTTGTTACATGCCATGGCAGGGATGGGTCTGGGTGGTACAGCATGGTGATGTTCTGCAACTCCTTCTTAATGTCGAGGAAAGCCTGCTCTTGAACAGCCTCCCACTTCCATCGACTTTTCTTTCGCAGCAAACAAGTTAAAGGCTCCGAAATTGACGCGAACTTGGCCGAGAAACCTCGATCGTAGTTACAAAGGCCTAGAAACCTTTGGACCTCTTTGACGTTTCTGGGTCGGACATAGTCTGCT